CGGGTGGGTTAAATTTCCACTCAATTCCTCTCCTGGTCAACTTCAACTGAATCTTGTCCTGATCCCACACCTTTAAAGCGTTGACGACGTCCAATTCAGCTCCTCTAAAATTAGTACCGTTGTCACTATAGATAATACCTGGGGGGCCTCTTCTACCAACGAAGCGCAAAACGGCATTGATAAAACTGTCAGTGGAGAGGTTGTTAACTAACTCTATGTGAACTGCTCGACATCTTAAGCAAGTGAAGTTGTAGCCGTAACGTTTGTTCAGAGAAGGGTCTCTCCTTGATCTTGTGTTAGGTCCTATCTTCACGTAGAGGGGCCCGAAGTAATCCAACCCAACTGCAGCAAATGGATATACGAGCCTGTGACTGTCCGAAGACACTCTAAAAACTGGAAGTGGTGTTGTCACTTGTTCTCCTAACTTGGCGTTCTGACGTTTGCACACATGGCACTTGCCAAGAACTTGCTTTATCGTGGAAACTGCATTCACGATCCAATAGCGCTGCCTAATTTCGGCCAGAACTTGATAGGTTCCTACGTGTCCATTCAAGTGATGATAGTGGCGAATTATCAACTCAGACACGGGGTGCTTTGCTGGCAGTATCATCGGGTGCTTGGCATCATATGGTAAACTCGAGTGATTCAATCTTTCGCCGACACGTATGATTCCTTCATCTTCGAATGGCTTAAGTCTGGCTAGTCTGCCTTTGATGACTGTTTCACTTTTCTCATCAGCGAACGACTGTTCCTGGACGAACTTCACAACTTTCTTTTCCGCTTTGTCCACGTCATGGATCGATAAGGTTTTAGGACTATACTTCACACTTCTATCTTTGACGTTCTGGCACTGGGACTGCATCGGTCTGTTGAAGGCTCTACATAACCACGCAACTATTCTTCTCAATCGATCCCACGACGAATATCGTTGGAACAAAATGCTCCAGAAATTCGCATGAACCGTGGATGCTCCAACAGTGACTTTCTCCTTTTTCACCCCTTCGTCTGTATCTAGGAGGTCTCCCAATTCCTCTGGAGGCTGCGGGGGCCAATCTTCAACTTCTCTCCACAAGAATTCTGGACCACGGCGCCACCTTTCTAGTTTTCCAGTCTCCGAGGCTTTGATCCCTCGGGAAGCATAATCCGCAGGATTGAGCTCTGATCGTACATGCCGCCACTGCCCTGGATCTGATTCTTGACGTATGACAGCTACCCGGTTTGCGACGAAGGTTACAAATCTTCGTACTTCATTGGAAGTGTACTTGAGAACTATCTTAGAGTCAGTCCAGTAAGTCACACTGTTAATCTTCAGTCTTCCTTCTAACTCTCACGTTATGACCTTGTTGACTTTCGTTGCTAGAGTAGCCGCTGTCAACTCCAGCTTTGGTACTGTTACAGCACTTTTCAAGGGTTTCACGCGAGACTTCCCCATTACGAAACAGCAATGAATTTGCCCCTGACTGTTAACAAGACGTAAATAAGAGGCTGTCCCATAACCATGCTCTTGGGATGCGTCGGCGAAATGATGAAGCTCTACATGTTTCACTTCACCGAAGTCCTTTGGCTTAAAACATCGAGGAATACTGAATCCTTGTAAGCTCATAAGCCCTTCTCTCCAACTCTTCCAACGTTCACACAATTCTCTTGGGAGCTTCTCATTCCAATCCAACTTTAATTTGCACAATTCCTGATTCATTTCTCTTCCAGGTAAGAGTAGGGGGCTGGCGAATCCGAGCGGGTCATACACCGTTGCAATAGATGATAAGACCACTTTCCGATTCTCTGGACGCTCCTTGTCATTCACAACAAAGTCAATGGCGTCATGTTCAACATTCCAGTGGATTCCTAGTGCTCTATCAATAGGCAAACTTTCTGATTTCAAATCTAAACTCTTAATGGTGGGTGCTCTTTCCTCCACCGGGAACGCTGACAACACGCTGCGAGAATTGGAAATCCATTTTGTCAATTCAAAGCCTCCTCTCGCAAGTAACTCCTGGAGCTGCTTACTGACTTGTACTGCGCGTTCTGAATCAGCAAAGGATTTAAGCAAGTCATCTACGTAGAAATCCTTACGCACGGCGTCAACTGCCTCTTGGGAGAAGTCTTTCTCATTATCCTTAGCCGTCTTTCTCAGGGCGTATCCTGCTACGCTCGGCGAGGACTTTGCTCCAAAAATGTGCACGAGCATTTGGTAAGTCTTCGGTCCCTTTGACAGGTCACCATTCGGCCACCATAAATAACACACGATCTTCTGGTGCTACGAAGACCTGGTGAAACATTCTCTTAATATCTGCCGTAACTGCAACGTCATCTACTCGGAATCTCAGGATCACTCCTTTCAGGGTGCTGGTGTTTTCAGGGCCTCTCAAAAGTTGCTCATTCAAAGACGTTCCACCACTCCTTGAGGCACAATCAAACACTACTCGCGGTTCTTCGGGTTTTCTAGGATGCCACACCGCGTGATGAGGAAGGTACCATAGCGGCTTAAGCACTGGGACTTCGTCATCAGGTACCTGTCGTGATGCTCCCTCGGTCAGGTACTTGTCCATTACGCAACTGTACTTTCGTTTGAAAACTGGATCTTTCCGCATCTTTCTCTCTAGCCAACTTAACCTGCTTGTGGCCGTCGACAGACTCTCAGGAAGGTCAGGCTTCTCTTGGCGAAAAGGAAGCTTAAGCTGATAGCGTCCGTTCACTAAGGTCGCTGACTGATCCATAAGTTCCTGTGCTTTACGGTCCTCAACAGACATGCCTTCCTCAGCATTGGCATCAGCTTCAACAAATTCCTCATCATACATGCGCTCTAGCTGAACGCTTAAGCTATCTTGGCCGGTGCGAGTAAAGTTTATGTGAACACGGTCCTTAACGGTTTCTCCAATCGGGCCGTGGACTGTCCACCCAAGGGGCGTCCTCACTGCAACAGGTTCGCCTTGGTCTCCTTATTTCCGATCTAACTGCTTGTCAATCAGGTCTGGGCGATCGTTTCCCATCAAAATTGTCACTTTCTTATCTCCTGTTTCGGGTAAGCTAAGGTCACAAAGATGAGGCCAACGCCTAATATCCTCGTTTGTGGCCATTTGTCGTGCTGAAACGGGAAGATTGCTTGTAGTCAAGACGTTTTCAAGTCGGAACTTTGCATCTCCTTCTAACGATTCAATTTCTAACTGGACTTCATGACCATGTCTTAGCTCCCCGTTCGCACAGTTGGTGGTGGTCATAGTATAGCTGATTGGCTTCATATCCGTTACACCTATTTCACGCGCCAAACTATCTAGACAGAGCGAGGCGTCTGAACCGCTGTCTAGGAAAGCGTGTGTTATGATCTCTCTGGTGCCTTCCGGACATCTAATCTTGACTGGAACTACCTTAAAGCATACTCTGGGTCTTCCCGCTTCGAGCGCAGCAACCGTCACCAGATCCTGTTCCCTTGCACTTGCCATCGAAGGGCTGCTATCCTTCGTGTTGGGCGCTTGCACATTGCTACTGTTCGCTGAACCTTCCACCGCATTACTGCTGGGATTTCTAGGGTTCTTTTCATCAACGCTCTCCGACGGGAAATGTAGCAGGTAGTGGTGATCCTTGCCGCAACCTGATATTCGGCAGGTGAATCCCCTATCACATTGTTTCGCAGTATGTCCTTGGTCAAGACAAAGCTTACAAAGTTCACGTTGACGAACAGTCTTTGGACGGTCATTCAATGAGGCACGTCTGAACTTTCGGCACCTCCAAACATTGTCAGGTCCGGAACACTGAGCACACTTCCAAGGGGGCCTTGGTGATGTTTTCTGGCTTAGGCAGTTCTGGTCCGTTTGAGTCGCAAGGGTAGTAAACTTGGGAGGCGGATCCTTTATCTTGTTTGGTTCCTTTTTTTCTCGGTTACCATGAGAAGAGGACCCTAATTCTTGCCCGTATCTATTGTTTATACGATCTGCAATTCTTCGAACAAATTCAACAAAGTCCGCGAAGTCCGCTCGACCTTTTCACTTGATGAGATCTCCTGCTTTATCCACCCGCTTCCTTTTCAGGCCCTCATCAGGGAGCTTTCGCATCAACGAGATTATGACATCTTCGTTGTCTAACCGACTCACGTAGTTGTGACCCATACTGGTCAGGACCCTCCTAGCATCTTCCAGTCGCCTTACAAACTCCATGAGAGTCGTCGCATCTGCTTTCCGCACTTGAATTTCTCTCAGTTTCTTCATGTGGGCTTCTACTATCATGTGAGGCTGGCCAAAGTTCTCGCTAAGAGTTCTCCAGGCTTCTGTGTACCTTTCACCCACTGTCAAATTAACACAACTCCTAATTGCTTCTTTAGCTTTGCCTGAGCACTGAGCTAAAAGGCGTGTCAGTCTTTGAGACTCATCAGACACCTGGTTCTCAATATTGTCTCTAAAATTCGTAACGAACTCCACATACTCCAAAGGGTCTCCACTGAATTTCATCAACTCTACTTTCGGTAAGGATGGCCCTTGCTTGATTGCTTCGGCAACTGCCACCCAAGGATCAGGTTGCATGCGTGACTGCGGACTAGCTCGCTGCTCAAAAGGAGGGGCTGAATAAATGTACGTTGATGTGGATTGCTGAGGAGTGTTGGCAGGATAGAACTCGGTTGCTGATGCATCTAAACCTACAGTTCGTGGACTACAAGGCCATGTAGGCATTCCTGGTGATTGGTGCATCGACATTGGTGATGCCGCAACAGCTGTGGATGTTGCCCTTGGCAAATTAAAACGAGGTACATAACTGATAGGCGTGCTGAACTTAGTACAATTAATTGGAGCCTGGGTAGTTAAACTACTAGAACTCGTCTTGTGAATGGCAACTCTTCCTACGTTTGGACCAGAAGTCGTGACCGCTGACCCTGATGTTACGTAACTCGCAGTCACCAATGATGAAAGTGAAGTTTGAGCAATATCTTGTGCTGAAGATGTTTGCATTTTTCCATTGTCAACAACTGGCTGGGATTCTGAAGAGGGTGTGGCACCACCCGTAACAGGCTGTCATAAATGCCCCTTCGCAGGAGGATAATTGGCGCTATGATCTTTTAAGTAATCATTCATCCCATCCTTCGCTTCATTCTCTTCGCCGCGCTCCAGCAATAAGTCAATTTCCGCCTGCTCCATCTTAGTTTTAGCACTCAACAGCTCTAATTTCCTGTTTAACTCTGCTTTACTTCTTTCTACTTCTTCTAATTTGCGTTCTAGTTCCTGCTTTTCCTTTAGGGTCTGCACTTCCAATTTAGCTTCTACCGCCACCCTTCTCTTCTCTTTAACACTGCTTCTATTTGACACACAACTTCTCTCGCTCTTGTCAGACCCATGGCTCAATCCAGATTCAGAAGGAGGGGTACCTACTCCCGTTTTCCTCCACTGATTTATGAGGATTTTTAACTGTAATTTCATTTCTCGTTCATTCTGATAACTGTCAATAATAAATTGTTTGTTCTCTTCATCATCTTCAAAGCTGAAGTAATTATCATGACTGACAACAAAGTTACGAAATGCTTCTTCATACCTGTAAATCTCGGCTTCCACTCCACTTATCTGTGTGCTAGGGCTTAAAATCAATTCTTGTACACAATTTCGCCGTTTCCGCAGTTGTCCAAGATACCAGTTTCGCTGACGCTTCGCATGAACCGCTTTCTCGACTCGAACTTCCAATTCATCTATTCTTTTGTTCGGCTCCCTTAATCTAACAGGCCTGGAACTACTGCCTTGTTCTACCGGATCCTCGCCATAGAAACCAAATTCCACGTTTCCACTTGTTAATGATGGCCCTACTTGCTCTAATCCACCATTGTCATCACCTTGGAACGTGCGCTGAGGCGATTTCTCTGTTGGCGCCGAATCGGGAACATTTTCCTTCTGTGGAGTCACGTGAGTCGCTGCTTGCTCGTGTCCACCTTTCTTAGCACCACTTTTCGATCTCTTGCTCTTCGAATTCTTGCCAGTCATTCCGTTCCTTTAACCACAGTACTGCTTGAAATCAATAACTTCGAATGATGTAGCGTCCACTCATAGCTACTTGAAACTGTACTTTAATCAGTTGTTCACTTGCTAGTTCGTTTCTAATCTGCACATAACTTGTATTCATTCCATTCACAAATTGCACGTGAAAGAGAAAGATTCGCTGAAATAACAACAACGCGACTATTACAAAGATGATATCGATCGAATAACCGAAAATACTGCATACTTACAAGTTATTGTGCCTTCTTAATGGAAAGAAAAACTTGTCCTAACGAAACGACAGTATAACTCCATAACAAAACATGTGCTTTTTCGTGGGAAAGAGCGCCCGCGATAGTTTGTGTGCGGTCACCGAAGACCACACCATATAACGTTTATTTTCTGTCTCTTACATGATCGGTTAGTATAAACAGAGCAATGTTATCCCTGCTTTTCGATTTACACTGCGATTTACATTGGGTGATTTACATTTTGGATGCTCATGCCTGTATGATTTACGTCCACAAGCTGAAGATTCAACTGTTCAAGTCCAAATTTGAGTGCTGTCCTGTTTTCCCGTTGTAGCAGACCCAACTACCGTGGAACAGTGACGAGTTCCTTTCCTGCTAGCCAAGCGAGTTTAAGAGTTAGTTTTTCCCCTTCGCTGTTCACACGCCGAAATCGCTCGAATTCTCTTAACACTTATTTCCCCGATTTGTGCTTGGAAGGGCATAACCTGTAGTCAAAGTGGTGGAGAATCCAGGCAGCTTCAACTGGAACACTTGAGGACAAGCAAGAACAAAGCAGTAACGAAGTCGAAGAGCTTATCGGTTCGTACCCACGCTATGTAAATCCCTTGGAGCGCTGATGCACGTGCTTTTAGTAGCCCAATTACTCGTCCGAGTAACACTTATTAGTTGACCTACATCCATTCTGTGCAGAAGATGAAGGAAGTATTAACGAAGACTTTGCCAGATATTATTTGAGAAGCCGCATGGTCCACGCTCCCCTTTTTGTCAAGGGTGTTGTGCCCTTAGAAGACCAAGAGACACAAGCCGATTTGTCAGAGGAAGAGCGAGAAGCCTTATCGGCAGAATTGCCTTTTCATTCGCCTTTGAGTTCCGGAAGCGACTCCGAATTTGAAGATCACATAAACCCAAGTCCAAGTCCCGTGTATCGCGTTCTTAGTTCAAGCCAAATTCCAGCAGATAAGCTGTTGATGGATATAATGGAACACAATAATGCCATTTTTGTGGAGTTGAGTGCCTCCATAAGTCAGCTTCCAAAACCAACAATTGAACCAAAAGTACGATTTTTCCCTGAAAATGATACAAACCAGTCATCTGTTGCTGTAAAACCACATGAAAAGAGTGACATCCAACAGTTAAAATAACTTCTTCTGGATAAGATTCAGTCTCTTGATCGACATTTCGATGCTCGTATACGAGGTTTGTCTCGACAAAATCAAGGTCAGCGTGATGAGATATCGCGTCAAAGGACAAGAAAGGGACAGCCACGCTGTTTTACCTGTGGAAGAACTGGCCATCTTGCAATTAATGGATCCGAACGCAAAGAGGCAAGCCCCCAGCCACTGCCTCAGAAATCAAATCCCGCTCGCAGATCTTATTATCAGCCACATTTCAGTTATAATCAACCACGAGATGATTGTCGAAATTCGCCACAACAACACCGACGTGATCTGAACTGAACAGCACTCGATGAACACCTATCCAATGAAGATTTCGTTGCAGAACTCGAGCGAAATACGAGCAGTCAAGTATCTACTGATTCACAAGAACCTTTCCACAAAAAACGGCAAAATAGTGCAGAGCGCGAGTGTCAAAACCAATCCCAGCGAAGCTGTCGTGTTCTCCAAACAAAAGTCTCGAAACTCCCAAACTTTACATAGGAGATTAACACCTTGATGTCTACCACCCTTGCCAGGCAAAATAAATCAAACGTTTCCGTACGTGAAGCCCACTGTCAAACGCGAAACTCGACCATATCTTGGTCACGTTCCAGAACCTGCGAGAACCCAGGAAAATAATGTCCAAAATATAAGAGGAGAAATCAAGTCCTATTTAACCTCAACTCTAAATCTGTTTAAGCAACTACCAAGGGTACCCAAAACAACAGTATATCCTGGTAACCAGTCTAGCAAAGCCCAGTCCTCCCGTCTTGTAGTCCTGCACTGCATCTCCCCACGGTTGATACGTTCCCCTGTTCCCTGACCATTCCAAGTTCACTATAAACGGTTTAGCTAGTTCACCTCAGCCAGAGCAAGTTATTAGGTTACCAAACAGTGTCGACGCTTCTATGCACTATCCTTCATTTCTTCCTTTTTGCTTCTTCGCTTTTTCCCCTTTCGCTTTTTGCTTCTTGTCTTATCGTGCGCCTACCGAAAACCATTAGTTTGCAGGTCGGCCGCAAGCTGGCTGACAAAACCAAGGACGAGATCATGACCGAAGTTCTTCGAGTTTCCGCCAGCCTTGACGTTAAGGCTTTCCAGGTTGCGTATGAGGTCGTCCTTGTCACCTTCCGGAGCACTTTCGGGAGGCCAAATCGTTTTCGGGAAAGCATCTTTTCGGTTTTTGGTGCTCTATCTTAGGGGGCGGCCCCCCTATTACGCGCGTGCACGTTTTCGATTTTCCTTTCGAGAAGGATGACAGTTCCTTGGAGGTTGCATTCGACGCCTATGGTGCAGTCAAGTCTGACAAAAAGAAGACTTTTCTTTCCAATCAAAACACCTTTAATGGTACCAGGCTTCTTGATGTTGCCATCTCTGGAGTATTACCCGCTTTCGGATGGTGGACGGGTACTTGTATCGTTTGTGGTATCGTGGTCAACCCCTTGTTTGCAATCTTTGTGCCGTTCAGGGCCACAGATCGGCAAACTGCCCTAACAAGGACAAGTGCAGAAAGTGTGGGAAAACCAGGCACTTTGCTCGGAATTGTACCTATGACGGGTCAGCGGGAGACTCTACGGATTTTCCGCCCCTGGCCTCATCTTCGCAGTCTGCGGAGGCCAGTGTCTCTGATGATTCCTCTGACTCTCAGCTTCTTAATGATAACAAGCTCAATCTACTGCAGAGTCAGTCGATTCTACAGGACTTAGTCCCTGTCAGTGGTTATTCTTCTGAGGCGTAGTCCAGACAAAGGGCCTCTAAAAGAGTAGGGAAAGACAAGGGCTCATATGCCAAAAGGAGTAATTCTGCTCCAAGCCCTACTTTCAATATTTGTTTACCAATAGCCAAGAGTTTAACTCTCTTGTTGCCGATTCTGCTGAATTGGGTAGAAATAATGAAAGTACTGCAGTACGTAATATTAGTAATGAACGATTAAACGTTAATAATGATAATACTAGTGCAAATAGTACTAAAAGATCAAATGAAATTATTAATAACAGTAGTGCAAATGGCACTGAAAGGGTAAATAAAATATTAATAATGGTAGTACTGAAAGATCAAATGAAGTCAATAATATAACTGTTAATGAAAGAAATGAAAGTAGTGGAGGCTAGAATGAGGTTAATGCTATCAATCCTAATGTTGCGATTGTTGAAAATGTTGCTGAGGTGGAGTCTGTTGATGTAATGGCTGGTGCTGATGCGGCCACTAGTGGAGGGCCTTTAATTGAGGTCATCGATGAGGGTCAGGTCGACCTCAGTTCTGATGGAATAGAGTCTTTTGTGGAATCTTCTTCCTCTTCATCACTCACCCTTATCTTCTCCAATCCTCCCTCTGACTTTCTGATGCTATGGATGAGAGCGAAAGTCCCTCCCAGAATACATCCTCTCCTCCTTCTCTTCCCCTCTTTCTGGTCAAGTTGGGTCTCGCTATGAGGGGCGTAGCCTTTGCGCTAAAGCCAAAGGTTCGCGTGGGATTGCTAGTTTTCGTCAATCCTCGCTTCTTAAGCCTCTGTCTGGCAAGCACGTTCTGCCGCAAGTTGTTGCTAGCAAACCAAAAGGTTCTGTCTTTCTCCGTAGTGCTTCCCTTGCGAAGCTTGATCTGTAGTTCTCTCCCCCAACAATTGCATTCAATTTTTTTAACACTCCGTGTTAAAAGGGATCCGTGATCCCATTAAGAGTGCTGGTTTATTGTAGTGGCTGAGTCACTTGTCATGTGATTTCGTGTGTCTCCAAGAGACTCATGTCACTAATGCTACCGAGGCCACTTGATGGTTCTCCTCTTCTGGTTTTCTCACTGTTACGGTCCCTGGTACTGCTCACTCTCGTGGTCAGGTCCTTCTGTACCGCCCCAGCTTTTCTTTTGTCGACTCCTGGGTTTAACTTGAGGGACGTTTTCTGATAACCGAATTCAGCAGGAGAAATTCCCTGTTCAGGATTGCATCTGTCTATGCACCTAACCGGAACCCTGAGCGCGACGACTTTACCTCATGTCTGGACGTTGCTGATCCATCTGTTCCCATGATATTATGTGGTGACTTCAATGCTGTTTTTGAAAGAGCCAAAGATTGTCGGGGCTCTGATCCTGCTGTCACCTTCCGTGAGAGCTTTGTCTCACTGGAGTTACTTTTCCAGGTATTTTGTGTTCTGGATGTTTGGCGCCATCTCCATCCTGATCTTCGCGCTTACACCTGGCTGAAACCCGATGGTTCCTTGTCCTCCCGCATTGACCTTATTGGCTTCCTGTCTATCTCCCTTCATCTTGTGTCTTCCTGTCCTATTGTTCCATGTCCTTTCTCTGATCATGATGCCGTTTTTCTCGGCTTCTCTATTCCTGAATTGTTTCCTCGTGGCCCTGGCAGATGGAAACTGAATGTTTCCATCCCCAGGGATCCAGTCTTTTTTTTTTCAATTTTTTAGCGACTTCTGGCCAAGATGGAGGTCGCGTAAGCCCTCGTTTTCAACTCTTCAACATTGAT